GAGGAAGGGAGGAAGGGAGGAAGGAAGGAAGGAAGGAAGGAAGGAAGGAAGGAAGGAAGGAAGGAAGGAAGGAAGGAAGGAAGGAAGGAAGGAAGGAAGGAAGGAAGGGAGGAGGGACAGACCACTTGCCACTTGGCCATCTCCCCCTATAGCTGGCACACCTTGTGCTTCCCTCTCAGCCAAGTTCCCTCCATATCCTACAGATGAATTGAAAAAGCCAAATGGAGCAAAAGGGAGCTGGCAATGTTGTTCTGCGTCCTCTGTGTGCTGCAAGGCTTCAGCAGCATCCCCAGACCCATCGAGCAAAGGAAAGCTGCATTCTGCCAGCTCGAGCATCCTTCCCCACTCAAACAGATTAAATTGCACTGGCTCCTTCTTGCCTTATTATTTATCACTTGTTTTACTGTTGCATCCACAGGTGCAACTGCTCTGCACTGGACGCTGTGCAAGCATACAAATAACCACAGTCCCTGTGGCAGCAGATCCAACAGCTCAGCACAGATCTAGCCCCAGGGGCTCATCCTGGGCAGGGAGTGCAACCCTCAAGCTCCAACACCATCCTGAGCTGACAGCTGCCCTCCTCCCCCCCAGCCACCTCCAAGCCATTCACGGAGCGATCCTCCAAATGATTTTTCTGGAAAACCAATTAAAGGAGGAGTTACATCACACAGCAGCCAGCCCAACCGGCACTGCGTTGTGCTGATGAGCCCTGCCTGTATTTTGGGCTCTGCACCACATTGCTCACAGCTGCTGCTGCTGCTGCTGCCGTGCTGGAATTTGCAGCTCGCTATCTAAATATACTGCAACAAAAAAACTGATCAAAGCAGCTAAATATTATTGTCTGTGTTCGGATGGGCGGCGTGGAGACCAGAAAACCCCTGGTTGTTTTGTTTTTTCCCCTGTGCAAAACCACAAACAAACAAAATCAGAAGGGGGTAGGGTGTGGAAAGAAGCAGAGAAGGAGACTTTCAGTGGGTGTGAAGTCAGCACAGCCCAAGGCTTGGAAGTCAGGAAATTCCAGTCCCTACAGCCTGTAGCAGGGAACAGGACGTGCTGCCTTATGGGGGACCCTATGGGCTTGTGTTCACCTCTGGGTGATGTCACATACTACCTTCATACCTGTAGGTCATCATAAAATGGTGGGATCATAGAATGGCTTGGATTGGAAGGGACCTGAGAAAACATTGAGCTCCAACCCCCTGCCGTGGGCAGGTTGGGCTGGTTGCCACCTGCCTGGTCTGACTGCCCAGGGCCCCATCCAGCCTGGCCTTGAGCACCTCCAGGGATGGGGCATCAACAGTTTCTCTGGGCAACCTATCATCACCCATCATCACCCAACAAGTGTGCCCACCCCTCAGTATCCAGGCTGAGCTTCTTTAGGAAGCACAGAGCTTCCCAGACCCTCCCCCTGTGTAGTTGGCAAGAAATAAAACAAGACAGGTTGAGCTCAGTCTGTGGCAGGAATGGGGCTTGGCACCAGGATGGGGGTTTAGGAAGGTGCCCATGGACCAGGTTGGCCCCCACCATCACTCAGGCAGAATTCTCAGCCCTCAGTTCCCTCCCATAAATCTTCCAGGTGAGCTCATCAGCACTGCCATGCAGAGCAAGCACTGCTGCAAATGAATACTCATGAATAATCGCTCTGGCTGCTTAGAAAATCTTCTTATCCTTTGCATAAGAGACTCAAAGAAGAGCTGGTATTAAATCAAGGACAACTGCTTGGCTTGGTCTCCAATCATGAGATGCATGGTGACATCTCACCCTGGTGACATGGGGGCAACAGGGACAAAGGAAGATGTGGCAGCAGCTCCAGCACCAGCTCCTGACCATGTGTTCCCAAATGCATTCCCACTGTCCATGGGATGCTTGGTGAGCTGCCTGATCTGCCTTACGTTTTCCAACTGCAGTATGGGATTAAGCACCGTTACAAGGTGATGAGCTTCTCCAGCACCAGTGAGAAGAATCTGTGCATGGCTGAAACTCAGGAATACAAATAACTTTCTCATGAGGAAAATCCTAAAACCCAATCTCTACTGGTGCATTTAACAAGGCTGCGAGCAGCTTCTTTTTGCATGTGTCAAGTTGTGCACGCCATGCCTACTATTAATATAGACAATTTCTTCTCCTCTTTTCCTCATTTCTCCTTTTCACAGATCAGTACATCCCAACAAGGAATTAAAGATACAAATACAAAACCTCCTGGTGTCCTTTAATTTCTCCCAGTTCTCCATCCAGCCTTTGAGTTTGGCCTGAGGAAAACCAGCAACAAGTCTGCAAACTGGGAAAAGGAGAAAACAGGAAAAAGGAAATGGAGAAAGTACTTGCGATGCTGTAGCTAAGCCAGTAGCAAAATATTTCCTTTGCTACCTATTTATTGGTATTCTTGTACACCAAGGAAAAGGTTATAAAAACAATCACTGGACCATGGGAAAATTTATTTTTGCTGAGAATAAGGGATTTTCGCAGAGCCTCCTACAGTGGCTTTATGTACTTCTTCCATGTTGAGGAATATTTTTATATTCACATTTTCAGTGCAGGACAATTGCTGCACGGGACGCACAGTGCATTTCTGGTCTGTAAAGGGCATGTTTTCAGTGTCATCCTCCTTCATTTCGCCTGCCCCCAGTCCCAAACCTCTCCCTTTGGTTTCAGTAATTCATGCTCAGTAAGTCACCTTTGGAAAACAGAGGACCCATCTGGTGTTAGAGAAAGTATTAGCATGGGTGGTGAAATGTAAGCTGAGAGAAAGTGGGAGGAAGAAAAATGTGAAGAGCAAATAGCTGGAGAGCGATCCAGAAACCTCAAAGCAGTGTCAATGGCAAGAGAATGTTAAAACGTGCAGATGGTGTGAAAGCAAGATTGATGCTGTGTCGCAGTGGATGCAGGCTGGTAGGGCAGGCAGATGCTGTTGGCCAAAGAGGGAACATCTGAGGAACTGAATTCAATGCAGCCACAGGAAAAGTCAGATGCTTTGGAAGAAGGGATGTGGGTCACACTTAGGAGATGGGGGCACACGTCCTGGAAAGGAATGACTCAGAGCAGATTGAACGCTGCTGGTAAGCAATCATTGATATGAAGTCCCAACAGTGCCCTAGCCAAGAAGGTTGGAGTAATCCTTGGCCACGCTGCCGGCAAATGTGAGGAGGGAGTGCTGAAGTGATAGGATCTCTGTAAACAACATTAGTGAGACCATTTCTGAAACGTTATGCCTTGTTCTGATGTTCGCATTTCCAAAAAAAGATCTTAAGAAAACAGGAAAGATTTAGAGAAGTCTGGCCAGCATGATTTCAGGCACTGGAAAACTGCTTTTAGAGTAAGAAAGCACATTGAAGAAGAGATGAAGTGACTTTATTCCAGGTTACCAATGTTTGCCCTGATATCAGTGATGAAGATTACATCAAGGAAGGGTGTAATGGAGATGCAGCTTGAGAAATTCGGGTGCTGAGGTCAGGTTTCCCCTCCCCAAGCCCAGATGACCACCTTACATCTATGGCCCAAGTTTATCAGGGTTTTGGTACCAACTACTCATTATAGTGGTAAATACCACATCTGATTGCATTTGTAGTAGCAAAACTCAGTAGTTTTGCTGACCACATGTTTAGAGGAGTAAATGGAACTGGCTTTCAGCACAAGGCTGTGGGAAGACCTGATAGCAGCATTTTGGTATCTAAAGGAGGGGGGCTGTAAGAAAGAAGGAGATAGGCTCTTTAGCCAGATCTGTTGTGACAGGACAAGGTGAAATGGTTTCATACTAAAAGAGGGGAGATTTAAACTGGATATAAAGAAGAAGTTTTCTATGATAACTGGAACAGATTGCCCCGAGAGGTGGCATTTGCCCCATCCCTGGAGATGCTCAAGTCAGGCTGGATGGGGCTCTGAGCACCTGCTCGAGCTGTAGGTGTCCCTGTTCATTGTAGGGGAATTGGACCAGATGGCCTTTCAGGGTCTCTTCCAACTCAAACAATTCTGTGATTTTATGAAGAGCTTGAGGCTGTGCTATTGCTACCACCCAGAGATGTGGGTGGACCTGCTGCTCGTGCTGTAGGTCATTGCTCTTGGGAGGTGTGGTGGTACTGGGTGAACCACAACACACAAAGTTACTTTGTGTATTGAACAGAAGGCTGACAGAGGGAGACTTTTCTTAAATTACTCAGCCAAAAAGGTAGCAACCAAGGTAATTGGGCACGAAAGCTCTTTTTTTGCTAACTGTTAAAAAACATGGAGAAAAACAGATGGATGGAAAGCTTGTTGACATTGATGGGGATCTTTCCAAGTGACTTCAGTGGGGTTTTGGCTCAGGTACATATGCTCTTGGATATCAGTAGACTGAACTCAACAGCAAATAAAATGGCCCCTGGATGTCACTGCTGTGCAACAGTAGAGCAGCAGAAGAGACTTATTGTATGGGATGTAAAGAAAATGGAATTAAGACCCAGAGAGAAGGCCTGGGTAACTTGAAGCATTGGCTCAAACCTTTGGTTTTGCCTCCAGCAGAGATTGCAAATGACTGCAAGTTATCATCTGACAGATGCTCTGTAATGGCTCCGGTCCATGTCCTACTGCACAAGTATATGCATCACAGCTCTGCTGCCATCAAGCCTGCATGACCAAACCAGCCTTGGCTGCTGATTTTTTTGCAGTTTTTCCTCCTTCATTTTTCAGTTAAAAAAAAAAAAATCCACTATCACCATAAATTTAATTGATTTTAGTATAAACTCTAAGCCTTTTGCTGATGTCTCCTTCAGTTTGCAAGCTTTAGTGTGAGCAGCGCTGCTCGGCTTAGGTTGATAACAACGAAACCTAATGATGGCATTTAAACATATTATTTCCATCAACACTTTGCCTGGGGTTCAGCTTGATGGCGTTTAAGCATATCACTTTTATCAACAATTTGCCCGGGGTTCAGTTTGATGGAAAATGCTCAGATGAGTTGCTTGCTCCTAGGAAGGCACCGCTCTTGATTATTTGGGGTGGAGAAGAGATAAGAACCCGAATTTTTCACATTGCTCCTGCAGTAATTCTCATGAAGGAAATCTGTGGAGTCAGCACAAGAACCTGTGGGACATGCATGCTGTCAGGGTGGGATACAACTGTTTGAATTTAATCTCAGAGAAAACAAGATGAGGGAGAGAGGGCTGATTGCAACACTCATTTTCCCATTAGCTGCATTAAAAACCTTTAATTTAGACATGAAACTTCTGCTGAATTCTTGTGCACTGGACTGAATTAGAAGTATTACCTCAAATTGACTTCAACTTTGCAAAGAAGTCTGCAGGAATTTCTATCTAGCCAACCAGTGTCATTTATTTGAACAGATCGGTACATAATTAAGAAGCCCTGGAGCCTGGGACAGCCTTTTATCTTGAAAAGTGACTCTTCCAGGTGAGAAACTGAGACACAGCAGTGGGAGATGTGGGATTTCTCTCACCTGATTTCATATATCCACAATGCAGACATTTCCAGCTGAGCCAGTCACCCCAAACTCCCTTTGTAGTCAGCAGAAACAGGCACTTTTAGAGCATGATTCATCTGCCCTATTTTCAACATCTGTGTTGGGATATGGGGAATTACACTTAGACTCCAGAGGCTGCACAACTGAAGACCTTGTTCAAACATCCCAGATATGCAGTGATTGGAGGTGTCCTGAGTACCTCTTCATCCAGCTTCTGCTTTCCTGTCCCCAGCTTCCCCCATTATCCCTGCTCAGGGGGACATCTCCA